AGTAGCCTAATTTTTACAGGAATAAAACATTGTCAGCTTTACTGACTTCATTTTCCCTGTTCCTAAGGTGCCTGCAGCTGCCAGCTCTCAGGCCCTTTTAATGCCTCTCAACAGATCATATACAGCCCAGGCTGAACACGTTATTTAGCACATGATGGATGTCACAAAAAGTGTCTGGAATTCACAGCCTAATGACCTGCAGGCTTTTGGTTTCAGAAACCATCCTGTATCCAATTATATCTGGTAACACTACGTGTCAATTTACAGTTCAATCTTTGTGTCAGGATCATTAAGTACTTTCAAAATTACCTACCTGAATAAAAAAATCACAGATAATTCTGTGTGGTAATTCTGTTTGCAATGAAAATGAAGTTGTTTATCTATAACTCAATAGAGTCTGCCCAGCTGAGGCTTGATTGCTTTTTTTTTTAAGTTGGGAAAGTAGTCATACACCATGCAAACTCTTGCTCAAATCATGGCACATCCAGGTCAACATATACCTGGAAATCTTCCCTTGGGCTCTCAGACAAACTCTGAAGAAGTGTTTCTAATTCTAGACACCACTCTTTCTGTCAGGAAGGAGAATTTCAGCTATATGAGAGCTCCAGCTGCAAAGGATTTTCTGACAAGAGAAAAAACCTGTCTTGATCATCTATAAAATGAAAGATCTCTTCAAGAATTTTATTTAAATGTCTACAAATAAACAGGAGAGAAGCCATCTATCATGGGTATATGGTATCCTTTCATCTGTGTGTTTGTGTTTACAAATGTCATACCTATAAAATCAGTGCAGAAAAAACAGAAAAAGTGTAAGATATGCTATTGAAATAAAATAAGTTACAATGTCAACATTTTCCAGATAACTGGGCAAGTGTTCTATTTATAGGCTAGGGTGGAAGGAACTGACTGAAAACTTTGCCCCTTGTTTAGATAAAAATGGAAATGAAGAGCAATGATTGATTGCCTATCAGGACCATCAGCAAGAAAAATAGCTGGCTACTTGGCTAAAAAATCTAGAAAATCTGTGATTGTTTAGAAAGTGGTGTCTCTCACTGGGACCTATACTGCTATGAGGAAAAAAACTCTTCCAAGCAAGCCAAAGAGTTGTAAAAGCTGAGACACAGATACATCTCATTTTGTTTAAAGAGAAAAAAACCTTTGCTTCAGTTTTAATCTGCAAATTTTTTTCAGCTATCATAATAGTATTATGCTTAGCTAAGTATTAAGAATCAGAAAGCTAATAAAATGGTGGCATTGGTGATATTGGTGTGAAATTATTTATTCCATTTCATGTAAATAAGGAATCTTTTTCTGTATTTCTTCTTCTGAGTTTCTGTATCTTTGTAACAGTCAGATCATCCAGAAAGGTTTTGCAGTTACCATCCTTAGGATGTTTCAAAAGTTACCTGAGCAAAGTCACCATGGCTTTTCCTTTAGTTCTGCTCAAAGGTAGAATGGGTCTAGACAATTCCAGAGACCCTTTCAAATGAAAGTCTGCTATGGCTCTGCAACTCTATTTTTGAATAACAAGAGAAAGAAAGAAATTAGAAAACTGCAATTCTGAACAAAAAATTCATTGTCCCTGTGGAACAATTGAATTTTGTCTGTCAAAAATTCCCCATTTTCCCTAACAGGTTGTCTGATACCAAATATTTAATTAGCATGTTTCAGTCCTTTGCTATATTCATAAAGAAAATGAGAAAGGAACCTGGAATATGCAACTCTCTTGTAGGCATCCTTAGAGTTAGTACAGACAGAAAAAGGTCTCTTGACCTTATACAGAAATAATTATCTAAAGCAAAGAAAATAATATTGTAGCATAAAGAATTTAAGCCCTGTGTCCCTTTAGGTAGGAATATAAACATTAGTGGTTACTGTCGATTCTGCAGATGATTTTCTAATGTCCTGTCAGATCACTATTTATTTCATGTTCCCAAAGGAGGAGGTACTTATACACACTGCTTTTCATTTTAGTTCCTTATTTCTAACTTCATTGCTCCCCAATAATTCTGTGACAGATACAGTAGTGCTGTCAAAAAATATAACAAAATGCATATTTGGCTGTGCTCTAGGGGGGAAATGCTTGCAAAGGTATGACTTTATATTTAATTGTTTCACTAGTGTAGTGATTTGCTTTCTGACAGTCTCTAGAGGCATCCCATTTCAGGATCCTTTGTGCTGAACTCCATAATTGTGGGGGTTTACTTCAAGTTATCCTGACCTCAAAGGAAAGCTTAATTGAAACTATCACCAATGGCAATGAGCAATTGTATGTTGCCCTGATTCTTAAGATTTTCTAAGGCCTTCTGAGTTTACATCTTGTAGACAACTTTCTCACACAACTTTCTGTAAACAATCTATTGTTTTGCATTCCTCCATAGAGGCGGAGAAATTTGATGTACTAGTAGTTTGTCCAATGTCATTGGAGAGGTGGAACATTCACCCTCCAATCCACTGTCACCTTTGGAAAAGTATAAATGCTGGAGTCAGAAAATAAACCTCCTCTTTTTCACCTTTGCAATAGCCGCGGCTCGTGTCGTGCTTTAACGTGTCCTATGGTGACAATTGTACACTGTCCTCCAAGCACACAGGTGTAACTATGTCACTGCCAGCCCTCCACTATTCACACACATGTTGACATACCAGGTACAAATCACAGAAACACAGAATCACAGAGTGGGTCAGGTTGGAAGGGACAACAGTGGTCATCTGGTCCAACCTCCTTGGTCCCTGCTCAGGATCATCCCAGAGCACACAACACAGGATGATGGCCTGACAGTTCTTGAATATGTCCAGTGATGGACACTCTACAGTGAGCACTCTTACTATCTGTGAGTGTTTACATGTATAAAATCTGTCCTTTCTTTCACAGCACCATTCTTTCCTGCTGCCTACAACTGCTGCTTTCCCTCCATCCTCTCCATTGATAAAATTGTTTACACTTTCTGAACTCATTTAGCCTGCCTTCTTTCCTGCCATTCAGGGAGATCAGCTTCTCAGAGGTAGAATTGTCCCTCATGATTTTCTGGTGAAGAAAGTAAGAGGAGTCTATTTAATTTTTCAGGACAAATTCATTCAGATTTAATTTTGTATTGTGAATATAGTACTTCTGCCCAAATACTCCCTTTATGGCTACATCTGGCTAGGCACAAAATGCCAGCAGCGCATCAAACCTTTTCAGCCCTTATTTACATTTACAACATGCTCAGTTTTCACATCCATTGAATCCTTTGACTTTGTTCAGCTGACAAGTAAATGTTCCTATTATCGTACCCTCAATAATGTAGATGCAGTTTCATGAGTGTGCATGCCAGGAGCAGAAAGTAAATTAGCCATGATGGAGTATCAATTGGAGGCAGAAACATTCCCATAAAGGTGTTACCTAAAAGTCAAATTCCTCTGAACTTTTAAGTCAGATTTCTTTAGAGGACAAAAATACTAAACACTGCTCTGCTTGGTTGCCTGGCACAGAACCCAGCTCCTCCTCCAGCACTCTGTGTGCTGGGGAAGCCTTTCCAGCTCTGTTTTGCTATCCAGCTCCTCTCCAGCAGCCTACTGAGCTGAGCACACCATGCATAACCACTTCTGCATTTTTAAGAGCACCTCCTCTTTGCAGTCTGCTCTTAAGCTTGGCCTGAGCCTGTCTTGTTCTGCAAAGAGGAGACTTTACCCCTCTTCCCCTCCATTCTCTCCAGGCTCCCAACACCTCTGCGGTGTTGAAGATATTGTCCTTTCCAATAAGCTGGGGACCTCCCAGTGCTTTGTGTGCTGTGTAGCTCTGGGGGAGGCTGAGTTTCCTCCTCTCTGCAAGCCTCTGCTCAATCTGGAGCAAGGCAGCCACTAAAAAGCAAAGAGACCCTCTTGCCTTGAAACAGAAACACAATTTTTATAGTATGACATACCACACATAAATTAAATTATGAGCAAACTAGTGAGACTGTTCCAGCATCCTTCACAGTAATACAGATCACTGAACAGGCATTAGAAAAATCTCTTATGAAACAAGAAAGGATCGAAACCTATGAAACAGACGAAAAAGAAGAAACGGAAATAAAATTAATTTGACACTCAAGTGTCAAGTTTCATGACCCAGTTTTAAATATTTCTTCAGTGTTTTGTCAAACAGTTTAAAACATTAGGTTTCCAGATACATCCACTTATTTTATTCCCTACAGTATGACACATTATTTCATATTTTTGAATCCCTGATTGTTTATACTCTTAAAGTAAGTGGGTTTTTTTCAGTTGCTAGGTAAGACATCTTGAATCACAACTAACAGAGTTGAAGAAGATGAATGAAGATATGGGACTGCTTTCTTCAATTTTGCTTATTGATAAATAGCAAAATCAATCTTTTTTTAACCTCCTAACATTCAAATGAATATTTCAAATTTGTCCTCATAGAAGTGAATTAATGAGAAAAATGAAACATACATCAGCAGTTCTTCAGCAGAACATTGTGAAAATTGTGAAAAAAAATGCAGTGGGCAGCAAAGAGATGTGCTGAGTGCTGCACCTGAACCTGGGTATGAAAACAGATGTGCTGAGAAAAGTATCACCTTAAAAAAGGTTATGTTGTCCCCATTTGTTATATGTTTTTCTAATTTCTTACCGTTCCCTTAAATCTTGCTCTGAGAAAGAAGAAGTTAGTTTTCAAAGCCTTTAGAGACTGTGGGTTTAGACTAAATCCTGCATTTCAGTTTTCTGACTGTGTGCCACCCACAAGGAGTGGTGATCTCTATCAGTTGCCCCTGGGATGACTCCTGCACAAGCACAGAACTTCTCCCTCCAAGGAGTCAATATGTCTCCTCACAAGGCAAGAGGACAGAGGACAGAAATGTTCAAGGAGATGAAAATTTGTCTCTTCCTTGACCAAAGAAATATACTGAGACTGTAAATCAACACGTATGGAAGTCTGCATCCAGTTACAGGAACCCCCCCAAGCATCAAGTATACAGGATATATTCTCAACCACTATCCCACTAGCATAGCACACTTACTGTGGTGGTGAAGGGAATACATAAAAAGTGCTGGATATTCCAGAGTTCTGCTGCTATTGCTCCTGAGCCATTCTGGACAGCTGTGTTACAGCATGGGGTTTGGACCATCACAGCCTGCAGCTCTGAGAACATCCATGAAGAGATTCACAAGTCCAATATTGGTGGAAGTGAAAGGCCTGTGTCTTTATAGCCTCATTTTGAAAGTGATCTTGTCTGCAGGATGGGAACTGCAGGGAATCAGCATCCAACTGTTAAGGCTCCTGTGCTCAATTTCCTGCCATGCAACCCTTGTATCGAGAAATGGAAGCTGTCCAACACTTTCAGTGCTTCTTTTCACATGTACCAAACACACACAAACCTTCAAATTTTGAAATGGTCATGTGTACAGTCATTGTGCTGGTTCTACATGTTTGTGGATGGTACTGGCACTAACTTTGTGATGTGAGATTTTAGGAGGCTATGATTACTGGTATTGTTTACTTCTTCCCAATCATAACACTTTCCATTTTAAAAATAGAGTTGCAGGAAAAGAAGAGAGCATCATCAAGATTGATGGCAGGCATTCATAGTGGAAAACTCAGTCTGTACCCATGATATAAAATTAAATAGATGTGAGGGACATGAAATCAAAATATTTTTTAAATAATCTAATTTACCTATTGATTTAGGATGAATCAAATACTGTAACCAGTTTGCTTCCGTAACTATTTTCTTCATGTCAAATAAGCAACAGTAATTCATTGTTGAAAGATCTCATTTCAGTGGAGTTTACATGAAGAAAAAAGACATAAAAACATGGAAGACAAAGGAACACCTTGTAAACATTTTCAATGATAATCTAAAAAGAAGGACAGAAAAACATAAATTAAGCAAAACATTGCAAAAACATTCAATGTATTTTCATCTAATGAAGGAGCTGTAGTCTCCTATAAAAATCAGCAATTTTTTTCTGTGACTACATGAGGAAAGTTACGTATATTAATTTCTGTTTGGCCTCTTACTTCTGGGCTTATTTGTGCCTCTGCAGCCAGACCCCAACCTCTGTATTATTTTTTCCATTCTGACAAGTCTTCCCAAGTTCTCTTATATTATCTGCATATCTTCTGATTTTGTCCACTTGCTCAGTTTCAGTCATCACACAAGCCTAAGTCATATATATTTGTCAAGTACAAGTGTCCTTGTTCCTCAGCCCTTTCCCTGTCACTGCCTCTCACACTCTGCTCTGAAGGTTTGCTGTGAACTCAACCTGCAGACATTTGCTAAGTCATCATATCTGTTCCTGCCTGTTCTTTCCTCTGCTTTCCATACTGCCTTCTGCATTCCTTAGGCCTGCACAAGAGAAGAAAAACACAAAAAGAGAGAGACTGAAACAGCCCTTTCATTGTATATTATAATTCACCCACAGTCTTGTGATCTGACAACACTGCTCTGTGAAACTTGCTGGTTTTCTGGGCAATTTCCTTGGCTGTTTTATCCTTGACAGTTTTGTGCCAATCTTTGCATGTTTTAATAGAATTTGATGAAAAAGCTCTTTTCTAATCAAAACCATATGCAACATACTTTTTCTGAATTCTGTATTTTAAACTTCTTAAGCCAATTGGCTTAAGAGAGATTATTTTTGTCTGGAAAATCATCCCGTTCTTAAACTGAAATGGAAGTAACATACCAGCTGAATGAAAAATATCTGTATTTTTTGGAATGTGTAATGAAACTGAAGAATCCTAAACTTAAGAAGAGTTTGACTTTCCTTCATGAATGCTTTGCTTTCATGTTAAACGCAGTATTATTGGGTAGACTGCTGGGGAAGAAGTGAATTGCAGGGATGAGAGGTTTGCTCATTTGGCAAAGAGGCAGCTAAGACAGCACATCTGCTAGCCCTGCTTAAGAGACTGACAGGATTTGCTTCAGAGTAAGATAAAAGCTGGTTAAAAATACTGCAATGCTTCCCACTTTTGTCTAAGTGCATTAATAATTATTTGTAAGAATAGATACAGGACAAAAGCAATAAAATAATATTAAATCTCTGAATGTTTCAAATTTTGTGTTGGCATTCATTCCTAATTGAAAGAGTTCCAGTCAGTTTTGTACAGATTCTGCCTTGATGACAATAATTATAAGTTCACAAATAATAAAAAAAAAAAATTTAAAAAAAAAGCCTGCTTGTATAATACAGTACAATACAGGCTATCACACATCATCCCCTTTTTTACAGCTGCTCTTTTTCTTTCCTCTGAATACATCCAGGCAGATTTCTCATAGCTGCAACCTGGATCCAGCTTTTGTTTTTCCTGTAGGGAAAGTAAGGAATGGAGGTGGAATCAATGACAAATGGATGCTGGAAAGTAATCTAAGTCCAGGGGTGGGGGAGGAAAGAAGAATTGTCAGCTATTTAAAAATAGAAAGAAAGAGATTTGCAGAGCAACTGCAGACAGTAGACACGTGGGCTGAGGATGGGGGCTGGAAGTGAAGGGGAGGAGGGAAGTCTATGTAGGAGCAGAAGCTGAAGGGTGAGACAAGATAATGGGATGAATGTGGGACTGTGGTGAGGAAGAGGATGCAGCCCTGTAGTCAGAAGGACGTGCACCAGTACATACTGGGGGCTGACCAGATAGAAAAGAGCTGTGAAGAAAAGACCTGAGGTTCTGGTGAACAGCAAGTTGAATATAAGCCAGCAATGTGCCCATGGAGTAAAGGTGGCTGACAGTACCCTGAGTTGCAGGGGGAGTGTTGCCAGCAGGTCAAGGAAGCTGATCCTTCTTCTCTCCTCAGCACTGCTGAGGCCACACCTGCAGTCCTGTGTTCAGTTCTGGATTCCCCAGCATGAGAGAGTGACTGGGGTACTGGAAAGAGTCTAGTGATGGAGATGATTAAATGACAGGAGTATTGCTTATACAAGGAAAGGCTGAGAAATATGGGATTGCTCAGGCTTGGGAAAGAAAAGAAGGCTCAGGGAGGATTTCATTAATGTATATGAATACCTGAAGGATGGTGCAAAGAAGATGGAACCCGATTCTTGTCAGTGATGCCCAGTGGCAGAACCAGAAACAATGGGCACTATCTGAAACACGGGAGGTTCCCTCTGAACATCAGGAATACTTTCTCACTGTGAAGACAACCAAGCACTGGCAGAGGCTGGCCAGAGATATAGTGAACATTCAAAATTTTGTGATGTTCAAAAGCTGTCCGGACATGGTCCTGAACAGCCTGCTGGGGGACCTTGCTTGAAGGGGAAGCTGGACAAGATGAACTCTAGAGGTCCCTGACAAGGTCTCTTCTGTGACTGTGAATCTTGACAGGAAAGTGACTCTAGGAGAAGAGGGTTAGTACAGTTGCAGTATGGAAGTTCAAATTTGGGGAACTTGAGATGGGAACACTTGAAGGTTTGTGCTGTAAACTGACACCCAGGAACTGGAAACTTAAGAACCAGGGTATTTTGGCAGAGAAAGATGAGAATTGCATTATGTTATTCCTATTTCTGTTTTGAGGACAGATGAACTAGATAACAGTCTGCTTCTGTTACACAACACTGGCAAGCATAGAAGCTAATTTGGTGCCTCTTTTGCAGTTGAGACCACTAAATTTTTGTTACTTAACCTAGGTTTGTTAGAGAGGTCATTTGTGCCTACCATACCCTGACAGCAGGCTCACCTGCTTTCATACACACACAAAGAGATACACAATTCCTGCTCTTGTAATCATATACCACAAAGTTAAAAACATTGTGCACTGAAAGGAAACTTAAAATAATATTCATTGCACTGACTACAACACAGCAGCTTTAACAACAAAACAAACTATCATTTACTATACTTGCCAGTAGGGGTGTATTTTTTAGAAGCTTGTTTGTAGTAAATCTGACAGAAAAATCTGAAACCTACAGCCTCTTTTCCATTTTACCAATTTTTACCCAGACATATGATGAGTATTTCAATGCTGATTTGCTGTTCTTGAGCTTTTCGTTTTCCCTTGGCTTAATTTCCTTTTTTGACCTCCTGTGGCTTTAACTCACTTCAAGTATTATTTGTATGACAGATATATCTTATCTTCTCTGAGAGGCAGGGATTTATTAGCACAGCAGTTCCTTGTGATAGATATTGTGTAAATGGAAAAAATGAATTCTTTCTAAGAACATCATGGGAGGGATATCAGTGAAAAAAGTCAATCACCAGGCTTCTTTTACTGGGAAACCTAACTGTGCCTACATCTTCTGTGCCTGATTTCTCTCATTTTTTCATTTATTATTAGTATTTCATTACTACTTCTGAATTACTTCTAGCCTCTGAATTTTTCCAGAGAGATCAGCCTCCAGTGGGCTGAAAATTGCAGACATGTAAAAGAAAAGGTTTAAGAAATAGTTCTTCTGCCAGTTTATCTCTTTTCTCTCAAATTCTCACAGAGAAATTTTTTTCATATGGCCAAGACATAGCAGTCTCTACAGCATCCCAAAGCCATATATCTTAAGCTTCCACAGTGCTGCATTTGACTCTGCTGAAATGTCCTCTTAGAGAACTGTGTATGTGGCAAGTACAAATGTGCTTACAACAATGTCTATTGCAGGAAGTCAACTAAGACTTGGAGGATAAAATTCTGAAGCCAAGACAACATCTTCAGGACTCAGAGAAAAACAGGGATGGGTGGAACTGCATGGGATGCAACCATAGTGAGATAAAAGCATTGGCTCATTCCCATACATCAGGCCTCAATTCCTGAGCTTGGATGAGTCTTCGTATTTTTAATAGAAACCAGTACAGCTTTTTCCCTTAAAGTGGTGAAGAAAAATTCATGAAAGTTCTGAAGTCACTGAGGGGAACTAACTCTGTGAAGAATGGTCTGTCTTGCCTAAAGCAACATCCTAGACATCTTAGTGAGCTGCATGGAAAATAGCAGGAGAAACACAGTGCAAGAGAAAGAGGCACCAAGAACTGCATCCAAAAATATGCTGGTGTTTTGTTGTTGCTTATTTTTTTCTCAGAGGACATAACTGCTGCTGTTGGGACACAGTTATGATCGGTTTTGTTAAGAAGTCAACCTAGTTTCAGAAGTATGGAGCTCTTTCAACTTACCACCCAATAAATCATGAATTAGGCTTCAGATCTCACTAGTTTTTGTAGTCCTGCCAGACATACCTCAGAAGACTACTTAAGAGTAGCAAACAGCATGACAGATTTACAGAACTACTTGGTGAATTCTTGACTCATTGAGGTAAGGAAGCAGGGCCGGTGGGAATGACATCCATGTCATTCCAGTGCTGCTTCTGCAACTCAAAGAGGTACTTCTCATAGGGCTGCCTCTT